AGACATAAAGAAGAAGCTTTTTATAGGCAGGGGGACAGGTTGCTCAGAGACATGATGCAAGCCCCATCCCTGGAGTCATTCAAGGTTGGGCTGAGCTATGCTCTGTGCTCCCTGATCTAGCTGTAGGCATTCCTGTTCATTGCAGGAGGACGGAACAACAAAAAGAGACAATAACACCTTCTACTAGGACAGATACATGCTTATAAATACATTCAGGAAGATTTAGTTTAGAAAGCAATATAGAAAATAGCTCAGCCTTTCCAAAGTCTACCAATGTCTTGAGAAGAACACCACTTCTGAAGAGAGTTTGCTCCCTCAGCTGCTAGCCCTGAGGATCAGGATAAGGAGGGGTGGACCCCAGGTCCATCCTTTTTCATCCCTCAGGTGCACTGCTTGCACTTGAGCTCCTTGTGTTAGCCATGCTCTTTCACCTGGTGTTCAACCATGGTTCAGGCTGTGACCTAGCAATTCCCATATAAGAGGAGATGGAAGATGGACTAGATGACCTTTAAAGGTCTCTTGCAACTCAAATGATTCTGTGATTCCATGAAAGCCACTATTAGCACAAGAACAACTGCATGGAACCAGACACAATGCAGTACTAGAAAAAGTAGTGGGGGGAGTAATCTATTGCCATTTTCCAAACTTAAAGAAAACTTATGAAACCTCAGTCATTTGTAAAAGCGATAGAGAAACATGTTCCCATGATGGCAGGCTTTAAATTAATGTATTCGCAGTATATCACCTCCATCCTGAGGCTATTCAGACACAGCACAGAAGGTAGACAAAATGCCCAGTGTAGTCAGTGTTCAGAAACCAGGCAGTCATGCAAGTATGGGTGCTATTTCATAATGTCTTCAAATCAATTCAAGAGGAACAGCACCAACGAAAAAAAATAATGCTGCAAAGCTGATTATTGCTGGCTGCAGCTGGTTCTGACAAGTCAGTTGGGAGACGGTGTTTGCTTTTAATTGAATACTCAGAGCAAGGAGATTGAAATATTCTTATATTCAAAAAGTGCCACTAATCAAACACCACCTGCTGTTCTCACATTGTGTTCACATGTGTGCTAAGCAAGCACAATGGCTGTCACTTTGAATTACTGGGTTTGAACATCTTCATACACGAAATACCGAACAAGGAAAAGTGGTGTCAGATCCCTGTTTCATCAGCCACCAGCCTGATACTTCAGTATTTACTCCAAACTCTGCATCTTCGTGCTTCCTCATCTGTTGTATGTACAATGCAAACATTTATATCCTTTCTGCCTTTTGTATACATGTACACAATTTCTGAAGCATCCAGATCACTGAGACACACATTTCAAAGACAGTTGATTAATTTCTGAACTTCTCCTGATTCCTATGTCTCTAGCCCAAAGACAAAGCCTGATCATTTCTAGCAGTTAAATTCACTGTTCCTTGGATGCTGAGATATGTACAATCACAGACACAGACCGTGACCATTGAAGCTCATGTTCTGTCAAACTCAGATCTAAATAACATCTTTTCCTTTCCTGTCCAGCACATTTCCCAATTTTTTTGTGTGTGTGTGTTAACAGAAAACTGTGCTTCACTAGCCAGCCTCCAGTTTCTGTGGAACAAAGACTGAAGTTTTACTTTTTTATTTAAAGACAGTCAGCAGGGAGCAAGAAAAACATCCCTTAACAAGGAAAGTCATCTCTTGGTGCTCACAAATGGATTTACTTTATTTTTCAGAAGAAGAGAGCAATGTCAGACAAGTCAATGTCAGTATTAGACAAGAACTACCTCCTGTTGGTTAAGCACATCTTAAACACCTTGAAAGGAGATGTGAAACACAGTTGACAACACCCTTCTCTCACTCAGTGCTCATCCAGCAACATCTATAGCAGGTGTCAAGTAGCCTCTAGTTCTTATATTCTGCATGTCTATATTTCATACTCTTTCTGAGAACAAAGCTGTAAGTATGGGCTCCCCTTCTCACTAAACGCAGGAGCCTGCTTCCCTCCCACTCGAACACTAGCACTTGCCTCTGGAAATCAGCAGCACCTTCTCAAACTGAGGATCTATCATGCTGAGATCAGGGTCTACGCTGAAGTTAATGAGTCTGAGAGACAGCCATCACGTGGAACAAAGCAGGTGGAAAACTTCTGCAGTTCTGGGAAAATCCATCGCCAGCTCCATATTTCACACCTGAGATTTATGTGCACAAAAAGCCAGTCTCTTGGTACCAGAACAAACCCTTTGTACCTGATGGAAGCTTAAAATTCAAATCACGTACTTTCATGCCACCTTCTATTTCTAGTTACAGATTAAACAGAACTGCAGGGTGTGGAGAACACAAACCAATACTGCAGAAAAGCAGTATCAGGTCAAGACGCATGCTTTGAAGAAAATACTTGGGAAATGAGAATTAATGTCCACAGCAAGCCTACCTCAGGAATGGCAGATTTCAGCTGAATTTTTTAGTACAAAAAATATGCCAGTGAAATAATCTTCAGGCCTTTATTGAGCAGAACTAACCTAGCTGTACTCCAGTGAGTCCCCACAGTGCACTGACCAGCCATGAAGCTGACAAACTTTATTACAAAAGCTATGCTTATCCAGAGGGATCTGGCATCTTTTCAAAGGCTGCTCGAATTTAAATCTAAGGAAAAAGTCTTTTACAGTCAGGGTGGTGAGGCACTGCAGCAGGTTGCCCAGGAGGTGGTGGATGTCCCATCCCTGTAGGCACTCAAGGCCATTTTGGATGGGGCCCTGGGCAGCCTGAGCTGGGCAGTGGCTGCCCTGCCCATGGCACAGGGTTGGAACTGACTGAGCTTCGAGGCTCAGACCATTCTGTGACTCCATGATGTGGTCACTGTGGGAAGCTTGTCTCTTACTGCCTGGCAGAGCCAGACGGAGTACTTTGGCAAAGCTGCAGATGTGTATAAGGAAAAGTGTATACATAACTGAGAGGAGAAAGTAAGTAAGTCACAACTTACATCTGTAGGCCATGTAAGCACAAGTACACAGCCTCTTCTACCCTACAGAGAACAGCAGCATGCTGATGTATGACAGTGTCTCCACTGTCACATTCATCACTAAAGATGAATGAGGTATTTTAGAAGGTATGGAGACTGAACATTTTCCATAAATCAGGAGCTGATTACAAAATGTAAAATTAGTATCTAAGTATTTCTCAAGTACTTCTGTTTGCTTTCCCCAATCTCAGAACAAACTTTAATGCAGGAGAATGGAGGGTATTGGCCCCTTGTCCTTTATGACAACTGAAAAAAAGCACCAAAAAGCAGTTCTCTTAATTGCCTAATTCTGGTACAAACAGCCAAACCTCACAGCTAAAAGCAGGCAGATGTGCTGAAAGACAGGAGCAAAAGAATCAAGAACAAAAACAGATTACTCTTTTCTCTCTCACCATTTGTATGTCTTGCTGTATGACCAGGAAAACTGAATCAGATTCCAACAGCAGGGCAGTAAGCTTAGCCTCTTACAATAACCTATTTTTTTAATTCTCTTTCCCTTTGCCAGTCCTACAGAGCAAGGAAAGTTAGGATCTTCTTTAAAACACTTTGATCAGCCAACAAACACAGATGTGTCAGAAGAAAGGCAGGAGTGGGAAGAAAGAAGAGGCAGACAAAAAAAAAACAAAAACCAACAAATAATCTGGGGCTACAGAATACAGTTAAGGTGAAAGCTATATTCACTATTTCATATTTGAAACATTTCAATTCTTTAAAATCATTTAAAACCTTTTGAACTGCCTGTTTCAGAAACGCCAATTAGCTGCAGTCTGATAAAGCAGACCAAAGCCTTTACCTGAACTTTAATTATTTAATGTTGCAGGGACAACAGCAGCCAGTTAATACTTGTGGTTCTTCTTAGCTCCTTTATCCTGTTAATGCTGCTTCTCTTCTCCTACTCCTCAACAATGAATACACTGGCCACAGTTCCCAGTGGCCATATATTCTGTTCTTCACCTTTGCACTTACTTTTCTTTTGCTTCTTTGAAAAGACTGGGCAGGCAGGGGCAAAAAAAGTACTTCTGTGTGGTTAACAACACTATGCAGACCCTTCAGCCCTCCCTTTCAGCACCTACTCCCCACTCTCAGTCCAAGTATCACTGGTCCTGATCTGCTCAGCTTCAAGCTTCTTCACCAAGTAACCTTGGAGGTCTCCCAGAAAGACACGAGAGGAGGCAAGAAAAGGGAATACTGAAGATATAGCCTTGACCTTAAAATGTGTGTAGAAATATGAAAGAATATGTAGGAGCACAGATTCTTACACATCTGTCTACAGTACAAAGACACCAAGGGGAAAGAGCCCTGCTTTTCTAACAAGCCCTCTTTGCTTAAATGAGAACCAGCCATGACCCTGAATGCAGAATTGAGTGTTAAAACATGAGCTGCCCCCATGTGTCAGAGGGGAGAATTTCAAAAGAATTTGAGGGAGACTGACATTCTCTATCTCATTCATTCCATCCTCTTTATATGATACACTGTGTTCTGCAACACCTGATTTTGGTCTAGGAAGGATAGATGATCCTGTCAAGATAAGGAAAATGGGAAAAGGGACGCTGAAACAGTACAAGAGTCAGAACTCTTATTTTAGTCCAAAACTACCTCCACCATTTCTCCCCCTACATCCTTCCACCAATTTAGACCTTGCCTCCCTTCTCCAGTTGTTTTATATACTTGCTAAATGCCAAGTCTCTCTCTCCTCTCTTCATTTTAATCTGAATAGCTAAAGCAACTTAGGTAATCTATGATTTTGTTTTGTTTTTTTTTTTTAAAAAGAGGTTTTAAGGCAAAGAAAAGCACAATGAATCCACAATGCAAATTTCTGAAGAGTAATACAGGTCAATATACCAAGTTTTGAAGATTGAGAACGATCACCAATAACTGGAAAAGCAGAACAAATGCTATACTGAATAACTTCTACCATTTTATTGTACGTTTTACCAATATTCACATTTCTACACAAAATTTCTCACAAATTTCACATTTCTACAATAATACTCACTCTTCCAAGTTCTTTATCTTCAAGTGCCAGAACCCCAGTGCTTTCTGTAAAGAGTTTTACTTTGACAACAGGCCGAGGATGAGTTGTGGTGAAATCTCCTTGAGTTCCCCATCTACAATAAATAAAAGGACAGAATTTAAACAGGGCAGAGGAAATGTTTTAGTGATAGGACTGTCATCTTTCTAATAGAACACACATTAGTGCACTACTAGACTAGTTTCTTAAGCATCCAGCATTAAATATTTACATGGAATTGGCTCTTCTTTGTAATATGATAAATCACAGTTTTTGTGTATGGCATTTGTCATAAAAAATCAGCTATAAATCTTTTAATCCAAAACTCACCCAAAGAACAGAAACTGTATGTTCACAAGGGAAACCAACCAAGTAAGTGAGCAACGAAAGTTTTTCTGTTAACTATATTATGTTCAGTACCCTGCATAAGAAAAACTTATTCAGAAAAGTATCAGGTTTTCATTTTCAAAACAGAAACCCACTCACAAACATGTTTGATTTTAGGTAAACGGACTATGCAGAAAATAAGAGATTTGAATATAGGAAAACCTGACAGTTCATGTGATGTTGCAGTTTAGTACAGGACTGCAGGAAAAAAAATGTAAACACAAAAGCAATCCTTGGAAAACTGTTGGATAAATTGTTATTTATCAGAGCAACTATAACTGCAAGATAATTGCTGCCACAAGGCTTCATAGCTTTGGAGAAGCTTAATTAGGCAGACAAACTTATAGTTGGGAATCTTATCAGCTGGTTTTACTCTGCTCCGTGCAAGTGGTACAAAAACCAGAAAGGTGTATGAATTAGATTGCAACTTCCTCTAACAAAATAATTAGTTTTCCTACAGAGTTGCAAGGTAATCACTGAATACTGTAATTCTGACTGTTAGTAGGTGCAAACAAAATGCAAAAAGTTCAGCTCCAGTCACTCTCCTTTTGTCTCCTAGTACTTAACTTACTGAGATCATCAGAAACTGAAGAAATAAAGAAAACAGGTGAGTGCACAAGTATACTCTATAAAAGTACATAGATCACACAAACTAAAATCTTACAGGACACCATTTACAAAAAAAAAATATTTTATTTTCAAGGATGATTTACACAGACTCATGGACTCTCCACTCCTGAAAAATGAACGTACACTAATAAACCTCCATGGAAGAGATCTAAAAGATAAAAGAAACTTTCAACTAACATAAGTTACAAATCCCAAGAAAAAGTCTAGAAAGTAATGTGTAACAGAAACAAAAAATTCTTATTGAAAGTGTCAAGTCAAATCAAGTCCAACAGGTGGTTGAACAACAAAGGTGAGGTCCACTGAAAATTAACTGAGTATCTCACTCTGTTCTGTCTTCCTTGCTTTGCCTGGACTAGATAGATATTTGCTCTTTGTGTTCATGGTGGACAGAGCCTTACTCTCAGCCAACATGCTAATTGAAAAATTGAAACAGGGATTCTGAAAAGAAATTACCTTCCTCAGAGAAAGAAAACTCGTTTTGTGATCTGACGATAGATGTACTGGCAGGTCAGGTAATGCCTAGCACTGCTGCTCGTCCCCGAGGCAGTCCCAGGGTTAGGTTTTATCACAATACAGAAATGAGATTTCCAAGGAGAAAGCACCCTCACAGAAGATGTGTCTCCCCAGAAGACGTGTCTCCCCCACGATACCAGCATCCAGAAGCAATACTCCCTTGCAATCTCAGACACCATCTAAGCATGTTGTTGCTGTACGGGGACCAGGGTATATTTGCCCCTGAACTCCCTGGACTGCCCACACATGGACAGGACCACCCAAATGATTAAAGACAAATCTTTTCCTACTTTTCCTATTAGAACTCAACAAATAAACATTAAAAAAACAAACAAACAAACAAGAAAACAACTAAAAACCCTACAAAAAAGAAAAGAAACGCCACACAAGAACTTCTCTACAAAGATCTAGTGCTAGTATTAAATAACAGATGGAAGTACACAAATCAGAAGAATCTCACCTTTAATGTCAGATACAATCACTGACCCTGACTGACATCTTTCTCCACACCTTTTTCCATCTACAGCAGGGAATGAAAATCCTTGGCTGAAAATCAGTGGTTTGGATCAATTCATAAAGCTTAGTGTTCATGGTGAAAATATTCCATGCACTAATCCTATGCTCCTTGCTGCTCAGGACTTCAGCTAAGTCTCACAGCCTCTTATGTCCATGCCTTTGAAGTGAATTGCCCAGTAAAACAGATGGTCACAGTTTTCTACCTCTTAGACTTCAGCAGCTTGCCTCAAGAAACAGCATTTAAGCAATAATGCTCTGTTGGAAAGGGCAAACCCAAGATTGTATTCTTTAGCCTTATGGCTAAAGTACTTTCCTTTCTACTTTAGTTTTCAACTGCCAATATCAAAGCAAACATATACAAAGCTCACAGATCATCTCCCTTATGATTGCCTGTGGATAACTACTACCCAACCCTTGTTTCCTTGGAGCTTTGCATAGGTATCTTCCTTCATACCGTTAGAAATCAGATGTTGAAAGAAAGAACCCCAACTAGAAGCGAAAACATATTCATTTTACTCTGATGCAAGGGTATAAGAGATTCAATAGTCCAAACAAACAGAGCTCGTCAATAAAATTGATAATTGATTTACTCTGGTACTGTAGAATTCTGTCAGTTTTTCCATACTTTTGGCTATTTATTCCACAGCTTCGTACTTGTAAAGGAGCTGTTAAATTTAATTGTGAAAAATAGGCTAGGAGGATACCTAATTGTTCAGGGAATCAAACTCCAAACAGTAATTAGTAGATGCAAATCCTGATCACCATTACTAAGGTTCTTATTTCAATTTATAGATTCTATGTGCTAATATCATTATACCCACTGGGTTTCTCAAAAAATTAACATTTTTTCTTCCAAAACACATTTGTCTTCTGTTAAATGCATTTATTAACAATGACTGAAATGCTAACATTTCCTGCTCTCACTTCTGCTTCATTTCATTGGAGTTGCTGTCATGGAGCATTTCCTTTAAAAGCTCAGCTGCTCAGTATAAGCAGGCAAATATATAATTTTTCTTTTAATGTAGGGGTAACACCCTGATATTTTCCTTAAGAAAGACATCGTGATATTTGTAAGACTGAATAATTTCAGCTGTTTAACTGAATAACTTTTTTTTTTTATAAATAAGAGCCAGAAAGGTGCCCTGTGGAATTTGAGCACAGGATGAAGAAGAAGAACTATTTTTAATGTGTTTTAATTTTCATTGCAACAGCTGTAAAACATTTGCTGTAAGGAAGCAAATTCTACAACTGACCTATACTTTTCATACAAAGAAGAAGGTGAGCCTGAAGGTTCCAACTTGGCTTTCTGCAAAAACAAAACATGGAAATCAAATGCGCCATTCTGATCTCACTTGAGACAAATTCTCTTGCAGAATATTTATTTCAGGTTTGCTCTATTAGGCAGACACTGAACTGTGAGAGAAAGAGCAAAAAACAAGAACAGGATTTTACTACCAAATGTCAATAAATACTGATAGCAGCACATCAGCCAGATGTGTTTTACAGATTCAGAGAAACTGACAAGTTATGAATGTTTGTCCAATGATTTTTGCAGACATGAACTACTTGTGGGCTCAGTGTGACTACACAGGAAGCTCAAAACTCTTCTCAAAACTGCAAAAGCATGAATCTCATTCACTATTCATATTCATTTGAAACCATTCCCATTATTGTCTTTTTTTTTTTTTTTTTAAAATCTTGCTAGAGACGTATCCAGAAGATGCAGTAAGTTTCACACTAAGTGCTGCAATGTCTCCCACTGCATTGCCAGCTGTGTCACACGTAAAACACCAACCAACTGAAGGGCTAAAAAAAGTCTCCAGGCTCAGGTTTGGCTACATTATTTTCCTTTGTATTCATCACTTGTCTGGTTTCACTTTCTTATTCTCTTTACTGCAGAGAATGGAATTATTTGATGTTTCATCATCTTTAAGCATGTCACATTTTTTTCATCACTGGTGTCAGAGGTGCAGGGCACAGATAACATAATTGGTGACAGAGCCAAAGTTCATTTCCCTTCACTGCAAAAGTACCCTGGATAAACCCACTGCCAGCAAGGAGCTGATGTTTATATCAGGTGAAGATACATCATCGTGTCACAGAACCCAGTCTAAGGAAATTTATCTTTCTACTTCATTTCAGAGCACATTCTGTACCCTGGAAACAGCAACAATTTTCTCTCTAAGTTTTTCAATTCTAATCTGTTAGTCAAAACTTTTCTTTATGAGACTTTAAATCTCCAGTCTTACATTGGAATGAATATTATAAAATGTATTATTCTAAGCAAACATCCAGAAACTTTGTTTTTGCAAACGTGGAGCATTTTCTCTCCAGCAAAATATCAAGTCTAAAGAATTTTGCACTATCAGGATCTGACTTTCCTCAACAACTGCTGAGAAATTCCTCAGCATTAATGAAACTAAAAGGAGAATATTGGTCTCTCCCTCGTGACTCCTTCTCAGCTTTGATTCACTGTTTAAATATACTGCATAAATCTACCTTGAAAGATTTGATCATCCTTCATTATATCACTTTGTGAGGTTTCCTTGAAGAGTTTTCTCATTCCCTGTCTGCAGTGGGGACGTGCTACTAAGTTGGAATGCACAAGACACAAGACAGCCCACCAGAGCCAGTCTGTGAGCAGCACAGTGCTCCTCAGGGCAAGGAATACTTGGCACTACTTATCTGGGCTCATCTCGAAGCTAGTCTGGAAATACCATGTCCGGGTCTTCCTAACATGCCCATGTCTCACTTTTTTTCACGATCTGTACTGACTTGGTTGCTTCTGTATTGGTGGGAAAGGCTAGAGAAATAGGTAACCACAATCTTTAGGTTAGAAAATGTACTTCAGAGTACAAGAGGTGGGCTGAAAGATCTGGAAAGAGAACAGTGGGACAGAGACTCCAGCACCTCTCTGCCACGTCTGGCAGCACTGATCTTTACATCTACACATCATATATCCAGGCCGGACAAACTTTGTGCTGTTAGAAAGTATTAAAAATAATATTTTAAAAAATGAGTGATATTCTGCTATTCAGGTGAACACAGAGT